ACGCCTCGATCGCCTTGGCCTTCCTGCACTGGAAACAGGAAGAGCACTCGTGACCTTGATGACCCGCTGCTTCAAAGACCGGTGAATGAGCAATCTCGGCTGTAGGCTTCAGATACTCTTCCATGACAGGGTACTTTGCCCATGCAAGCGTCAAAAAGAGCACGGACATCACCAAGCGTTCGGCTGTGATGCTGCAGCTTCTCGCTGACGCTCTGGAGCTCCTTCAGCTTGTCGTGCAGCACTCGAATCCGGCGATGCTCACTCAGACGGGGGAGCAGTATTTCGACCTCGGCAACGTGCTTCGCAGCGTCGCGAATGCACACATACTTGTGTACCATTTTCCACACCGATGACCAGCGAGTCGCATTCGCTTTCTCAGGCAGTAGCGCTGTGTGAAGCGCTAACTGAGCGGCGTTGTTTGGTTGGGGGAGGCTTGTCATCAGGCGTTGAATCATACTAATGTGGTGTTGGAAATCCCACGTGAACTCTAGCTACAGATGTAGTTAGGATGTTCCCACAACAATACGTCTACTAGGATAGTAAACGATCGTTTGGGCGGACCTGAAGACCCCAGTTCTGCCCTTGCACCGGGACAAACTGGACCTTGTAAACTACTTATATAGACCAACCAGTAAAATAAGAACACGCTACTAGCACGAGCAAAGCTAGCAGGTGTTTTGAATCCTCGTGGTCCCAACAGCGGAAGGGTACCAGGCACGGGTAAGCCTTTTACGAGATCACCGAGTGTTCAACACTCGGCTGGAAGAAATAAAAGGGAGGCAATTCAAGCACTCCCAGTCGTGCAAATAGGCAACAATAAGCCGTCACGTAAAACCTAATCGGCCAATACACAAAGTCTCTTGGCCTTGCCGGATGAACCCTCGCTACAGAGCTTCGAGTTCACCGACAGGCATAACACACTCAAACAAGCTTGACCTGACGCTTACCTTGAAGCCGGACGTCGCTCTGTGTGCTTGAGTGGAAATTCTGTTCTGTATTTAAGCTTACCCTTTCGGGTCTATTCCTAATAAGAAGTCCTAATCAAGTATACAAATATCAAGTGAACAATGATCCGTTATGGATCTTCTTCTCCTTATCGCCGGATAATCCGTTTCCAAGGTAGGATATGCTTGTTAAAAAGAAAAGAGAACTCTTCCCTGGGCACACGCTAGCGTCTCCTGGGTCGGTTGTGT